AAATACTAAAATTCAAGGGGCATGCACAGTTGAGTCCAAAGAGCACTAAAATATGGAAATTAAAATTCCAAGAGATTGTCAAAAGCAATATATCCAGCAGGAGACAGGAATCCTAAAACAGGTTATCTAACATGAAATGAATGAATGTTCATGTAAATTTTAATTTAAGACATGAGCTGCAGGGTCAGTTATGACTATACCCCAACCAGGTTCCTAGGCTCAACAAAACCCAGTTGAAATCCACAAATGATGTCATAATCTACTTGCCTTCTCTCGAGAAAAGTCCACCAGGAAGGCTATAGAGAAAATAGCAGACAACGTAGCAGCTGATCTTCTTCACTTCTGTAGATAAGTCCATTAAAAAGACTTCCCAGAACCACATGTCATAAGGCCTGTCTGTCTGTCATCCCTGAATGTATGAAAGGAAAACCACAAAGCAATTCTCTGGGCTATTTGTTAGAGAGACATCATTTTAGGCTTCAAGAAAATGACATCTGAAAGCAAAGCTGGTGCCTGCATTGTGTCTTTAGATTAATTAAGGCAGAGCCTTGGAGGGTAGAAATTGAAGTTTCAGACAGAGCGGCTTTTTTTACTGAGAAAAGTTATCTTTCTATAACTCAGGGTTCAAATTGAAAAGTATGATGGGAATGACTGCCTTTACAATCCTGATTGTCACCATTTGGAGACCTTTTTACTACACAGAAAGAAGTTTAGCTATATTTATTTCCAGGTTAGACAACCCATTCCATACAAGTTCCCTATATTAGGTTCTCCCTCTTGCCATTTAGCTTTGAACTCTGGGCACTTTTTCACTGGTCAGTCCTATAACCCCTTCTGCTGGGTTCTATACCAGCCATCACCAAGACAAGCGGAAAGAATATTTCAATAGTTGCCTGAATTAACCCAACTTCATTTTCTTAATTTCTCCCTCTCCTCCCCACCTTAAACCTGTGTGTGTGTGTGTGGTGTGTGTGTATGTGTGTCTGTGTGTATTAGGAAGGGATGATAGGGTTAGAGACAATGGCTTAAGAGGTTCCATCTAAACAACTGCAAACATTTGTGAGATTTAAAAAAAAAAGCTGATGCAAATTGGGGATGTCACAGATTCAAGAAATTTACAATATTCCTTGTATTTTTTTCTCTACTCTGTTTAAACTTAAAATGAAGTTTTGATTTTTTCAACAGCCTCTCCCGAACTTCCATTTTTTAATAGTGATGTGAAAGATAGCTCAAATTGAAGCTTTTATAACTCATTACTTCATTTGACAAATATTTGTTGAGCACCCTGAGTGCCAAGCACATACTAGGCATTGGGAAAAAGTGATGTCAAACTTGCTTTCCAATCATAACCCCAATGAACATAGATCAACCCGCTCTACTTTTAGCCTTCTGCATTTCAGTAATGACAGTTCTATCCTTCTGGCTGATCAGGCCAGCTACAAATATAGGGTTTGCTAGTCCAGATAGCTGGATCAATATTACTCTACGTATCAGTACATGGACTTTGCTGGGATTTTCATCTAAAAAAAAAATCTGAGATTCCATTCTAACTTCTAATGGCAAGTTAGGCCCAACTGAAATTCCTCTACTTTAATAAAAAGTTAACTAAATCGATGGCCACTGAAGTATTCCAAATCTATATAAGCGACATTGTCTAATTATCAATTACAGGGCTTGAAGAACTAGTTATGGTTTCACTGAATTCCATGTTCAAAGTAATCTCTAAAAGAAAATTACAGCAGAGATTCACTTATTTCCATCAAAGTTGACATCTTGATTGTTGTTTTGTGGGTGTTTAAACATATGATTCTCAATATTTCCTTTCATGTATTAGCTTAGAACAGAGGAATACAGTGTAATAAAATAAAGTGCACTATTGTCCTTCCTCATTAGTAATAATCAAGTTGCAGACAAAGTGCATTGCTGTCTTTTATTTTTCTAGTTTCACCAAAACATTTGATTTAAAAAGGGGGATACTGTCTTTATGTTTTCTTTAAAAAATTAACCTCAGCTTTTCTTCGAAGAGTAATGTATATTCTTTGTAGAAAAAGAATGGAATATATAAAAAGTCATAAAGAAACAAAAACAATTACATTCCGATAAAGCAAACACAACCATAATTTTTAAAAGTAATATATTCCTTAAATAGTTTATGCTTTGCTGGTTGGTAAATTAAATAATTAGTTATTGTGTTTTCTTGATTATAAAGGTAACACATGTTAATAACAAAAATATGGAATATAGAGAATTTTATAACATAAAAAAGACATCTTATTCTAGCAGTGCTAATATTTTGGCACATTGCCTTTCTGCACAACTTAAATGTTTTCTGTTTTATCTCCCCCTTTTTGTCCTGTCTCTGTCTCTATCTTTGTCTCTCTCACTCCCTCTCTCTCTCTCACATACACACACATTGCATATTGCTTTCTTAAGATAATCATAATTAGCCTGGCCGGTTAAGTGTCGACCTATGAACCAGGAGGTCACTGGTTTGATTCCCAGCCAGGGCACATGCCCAGGTAATGGGCTCAATCCCCAGTTGAGGGTGTACAGGAGGAGGCCGATGGATGTTTCTATCTCTCCATCTCTCTGCCTTTCTCTCTAAAAATCAATAAAAACATTTAAAAAATGAAATAAAACTGATTCAGTTACATTTCTACAAAGTGTTGTTGTTTTTATCTGTCCCAAATTTAGATGCATACTACAGAGTGGAATATTCTTAAAGCTGAAAGTTCATTCAACTCTTATTTCATATCCGTTCCTTAAATTATAATCTGGTAAGAGCTATCCATAGATTACAAATGTTAAGGATACAATGCTCAAGAACTGGAGAAAACTCCATGGAAACGATGGGTTCAAGAAGCTTAGAAATCAAATATAAGGAATTTGTAAATGGGAAAGTTAGCAGCTAACTTTTGGGGGGTATCTTTTGTTGTTGTTGTTTTGTTTTGTTTTCCTATGCAGGGGCAGAGCAAAGAAAATATAGTAGACAGTCTGTGTATTTAAAGGCAAAAGTAGCAAAGAAAGTTTTGAAAGGAAGCCCAAAGCAATAGACATGGCATCCCAAGAAGAAAAACAGGAATGGCACACAGACTATAGGTAAAACATAGAAAGGATATCTTTGCTAAGAATATGAGCTGGAAGAAAAGAGTATATAAAGAGATTTAACAAAGAAATGCAATGCCTTTATTCCATGTTTATTGTGTTTAGTTGTACATTTTTCTCCAATTGTAGAATTATTTTTAAAGATGCAGATGTTCTTTACCATTTATAAGTGTATTTTTTTCCTTTGATACAGTGAGGGTGCAAAACCCATTCTAACAATATTTGAATGATGGGGAAATGCCCTATGATGCTAAATTTCTACACTGAATGTCAATTTCCTAAAATTTCAAAAGGAATATTTATAATATATACGTTTCCTAAGTCTTTCTGATATTCTTAATTTTAAAAGGCATAGCTTAATGATAAATTTATATATTATCGCTTTCCAAAGCCTTCCTCATAAGTATATTTCTACCCATAGAAATTGCCATATAGTGTGGCCAAAGCCTTTTCCAAAATCTGTTTGAAAACTGCAGTTTAAGGTGCTAATTTCCATATATATAAATAGATGCTATGGGATGATCTTGATATTGGTATAATGGTAGCTGAGATTGAACTCTAATACAAAATATAAAAAAAATTTACGTGATCTTCCATTTTAGCCCTTCTGAAGTCTCTTTCCATTAATTAGGTCTTATCTCTTTGCCGAGCGCTTAGAAATCGAGAATAAGGAGGACTGTGTAGAGCTATTGCAATCCAAACTCCACAAATTATTTTAGGCATTAGTGACTCCATGAACTCATTATGCTGGCAAAACTTTGGAGGAAGGAATAGGTCGGCCATCCCAATACTTCAAAGCTACAGGAAAATGGAAAAAGCATAAAAGGAAACTGCACCTGAAGCTTAGAAAGACTGTACAGAGAAGTTTAATTTATTATTCCAATGACTTTCACAGCATGAGACTCTCACCAGGAGACACACACGTCTGTGCATCTAATAAGGCTGTACAGAGTGGGCGATTCCTGAAGGACTCTTGCGGCTTTTCCCAAAGCATCCTTTTAATCGATCGAAAATATACAGTATGTGGAAAAGACGCAAGACTGATTCTATCTCAGCTGTTTTGCTGCCGGCTACCTGCACATATTATTTCTCAAAAAAATGAAGCCAATTTTGGCCAGTAAGCTCCAGTTAAAATATTTAGGCTGTTTTCATTAAATACCTATTTGTACTCTGCTTTTGAAGAATGAAAAACCCTAGATAAAACTTACTGGCATGTACTGCTTAGTTACAATACATAACTGAGGTCTGTGACAAAAATGTCTTTCCGTTTGACCTTTTCCACTTCATCACCCTTCCCTGAGTTCTACTTCCTTTCCAGATTACTGCCAATGTTTCTATGTAGTTGTAAATGTTTATGGACATATACACAGAAATCTGTTTTTACATAATAATGTGATAATTCTATATCCATTGTTTGGTAGGCTTTCTTCTTTTTTTTTTTTTCCCGATGAGATATCTGAGATTTTTCAATGTCATATTTGTAGCTGTATCACATTGAACCAATCCCCTTTCACTGTGGGCATTTAGTTGGTTTCCAGTAAGTCTACACTGGACCTCCCTCTACATATATCCTTTTGTACAGGTACACATAATTCTTCAAAATAGAAATACTGGAGCTAAGACCCATGGATTTAAAATTTTGAGATATTTCCAAATGATGATCAAAAAAACCTTTTCTGATTTAGACTTAATAGCATATAAGAGTAACAATTTCTGCTCATCATTCCACTCTCAGGCGATATATTATTTTATATTTTTTATACATTTGATAGCAAAAAAGATTTCTCATTGATGTTTTTTTATATATTTTATTGATTTCAGAGAGGAAGGGAGAAGGGGGAGAGAGATAGAAACATCAATGATAAGAGAGAATCATTGATCAGCTGCCTCCTGAATGCCCCACACCAGGGATTGAGGCCTCAACCCGGGCATGTGCCCTAACTGGGAATGGAATCATGACCTCCAGGTGCAGAGGTCAAAGCTCAACCTACCAGGCAGGGCTCATTGCTGGTTGGAACTTAACTTTGAGCATCTCTAGGTAGTCTAGCCTAATCATTCTTTTTTTACATTTTGGTGTATTTTAAAACCCTGGGTTAGAGAGCCTCTCCATATATTACAGTATACAGTTGACCATTAAATAACATAGGTTTAACTGTGTGGGTCCACTTATAAGCAGATTTTTTTCAATAAATACCAGTACCGTTTTCAATCTGCAATTGGGTGTCCGTGAATGCAGGGAGCTGACTATATGCATTGCTCTTTGCCACTTTAGTTAGGGGATTTGCGTATCCATGAATGTTGGCATCTATGGGAGTCCTGGTAGTAATACCCTGCAGATACTAGGGATAACTTAAGTTTGGGGGGAGTCAAAAGTTACACATATATTTTGGACTGCACAGAGGTCAGTGCCCCTACTCCCACATTGTTCAAGGATCAAGGATATAGTAATCAGGTTTTGCTAATGTCTTCGTGGTTATCTGTGGTGAAGATACTGGTCCACAAAGTAGGCAACCCCAAATAAGGAACAATCTAGTCCTAATTCTATCTAAGGTTATTTCTGTCCAAATGGATTATAAACAAAACATATGTGTACCATCCTTCTAAATTAAGTGGTAAGCTGCCTTAGAGATTATAATGAATCCCTCCCCAGATGTAGGCTAGAGCATGAGGACAGGCCATCAGAATTGGATGCTGAATCCATGATCAAATGTTTGGAACAGACTTATATCTAGGCCAGCCCAACTTTAAGAGCAGCTGAGAGAGAGTAAGAGTTTCCATTTGGCCTCAAAATGTAAAAGCAAGGGAACCAGTTATTTATTCCTCTGTACAGAGTAGGATATTCAAAATTATTGATGATGAATGACATCCCACATGGGACTCTACCCAAGGACTACAGAATTGTGATACAATGGAATTGCCCCTTATCTGGGAGTTGATTCTGAAGTCTGTATTAAAGCTCAAGTATAGTCAACATTACACTTAAAAATACTTTAAGCCCTTTGTGCAGTACACTATAGCTGGTCCTATATAGAACAGAAGCTGTAGTTTTTTGGAAGTAACCATATAGATTAAAATTGTGGCAGTAACTACTAGTTTTCCCCCTTTGAAATTAGATATTTATATGCAATTATTTATGTATAAGATCCTCTAAAAGCTGCACCCAATGTAATACCAGCCCTTTTATAAATTTCCAAACCAAATATTATCCAACATAACTTGAGTATATTATCTCATTTGGTCCTCCCAGGAGCTTGATGCAATAGATGTTATCATTAGCTCTCTATTTACAACTAGAAAATGGAGTTTCTTATCACATTGGAGGTATTAGGTGTCTGAACACATAGAGTCGCTAAACCACACATACACCTTCCCCAGTAAATATTATTCACTATATAAACTTAGACTGATCCTACGAATATGTACAAATTACCAACTTTTAAAGAGACACAGTCCTTGACAAAAATGGAGTCCCTTAACTATTACAGAGGCCATGCTTTTTTTCATATGCATACTCAGGACAATCATGAATACTTATGTACTAAAATAAAAACCACTAAGATCACACTTTGGCTTGTCTTGACAAGTAAAAGGAGGTAAACCAGCTCACTGAAAGTAAAAGATACTATTATTTCTTTAGAGGATTTGTTGGCCCAATAAATTGCCTTAAGAAAATATTCTATTGAGGGATTACTGTGACCTAATTACCTGACAACTGGTTGTCACTAGGACAACAAAACATAGAGTGAAAGTATTTTCCCATCAGTACTTTATGGAGAAGGTTGTGAAACCACACCACACAGTAGTCATTCAAATGAAAGGGACAATGCTCAGAGGTGAGAGAAACTGTTGGTGTGAGATCTGCTTCTCAAGAATAATCTGAAAACACCCTTATGTGATGGTTCAACATTACCTGTGAATTCTACTTGCACTGGTATCATTTCATTGGCATTTTTCTCTACATGAGGTACCTACCATGTAACTGACTAGTAGACCTGACAAGAATAAAAGTGATCATGATATAGTTCTTTTTAGTAACTTCTGTTTATTATAAGGGTCATATAAAGTTCTAGAACAGAAAAAATTAAGTTATCATGATAGAAATCGTATCAGGACTTGCTGAAGGTAGGAGTGGGGAGAATTGGCTGGAGGGGGAATATGGGAAGTTTCTGGAAGGTAAGAACTATATCCTGATTGGGGTGGTAGTTATGGGTATATACTTCAATGAAAAGTCAATGAACACTTAAGTCATTGAACACATTGTAAGCTTAAGATTTGTGCTTTTTGTTTTATGTAAATTATTTTTCAATGCAATTGCCCACAAATTTCTTATTTAGAAAAAAAAAAGAAATTGACACTTAGCCAAAGCTTTCTCTTTGATTCTGGAAACAAAGGAACACACTGAGGAGTTGCTGTAATGAGTAGTATGTTTTTTTTCTAGGATGTGACAAATAGGCAATCATGCTTCCTAATTAAACAAATACAAGTGCCATCAGAACATGACGAGAGTGTCTATGTATTGTTTGTTTGTTTTTAACTGTGCCTATTTGGCTAAAAGAGTGAGTAGAAAGAATGTTCAGAAGCTCCAAGTTATTAAGAATGGCCATTTGTTATTAAAATACTGAAGGGCATTGATGACAAATGTGAATTAAGCAGTAGACCAGATGAGGCATGTGTTAGAAAAATATGGGCTTGTTTTTCTGTATTGCCTTTCCTTAACCAACCTTCATCCCTCAAAGATTTTATGAAAGCTGCTTATTAGGGAGGCATTAAAAAGGGTGTTATAGAGATAAAATTTTACTTAATTCACTCTAAAAAGAGAAAGTTATGTATCCCCTATTACATGCCCGGTATTTCGATGATGACACCAGGAATAAAAAGGAGGCAAGATCAGCATGGCTCCCTATTCAGAGAACATCGAGTCAGGCAGGAGCCCATGTCATTAAATAAATAATTACAACACAGGTAAAGAATGAGATAGTGCTGTGGATGAGAGGATGGGCTCTGCAACCAAACTGCGTGGTTCAGATCCTCTTTTGCATTTACTAGCTGTGTACTCTTTGAGAAGTTACTTAAATGCCTTGTGCCTTGATTCTCCATGTGAAAAAGAATGGATAAGTAGTATCTATTTCATAGGCTTTATAAGGATTAAGTAAGGTAACAGATTTAAAGTTCTTGGAATACAGCCTGATAGAGAGTGTTCTATAACTAACAAGGAGGCAGTGTAATTGGCCACCAAGGGAAAGTGTAATTGGCCAACACTGGCATTGTCTCAGTAAGCAACATCCGGGCAAGAGTATTCCTCTTGTCAGTCTCCATTTGGCCAGGTGTCCTGATGTTGGTAACCAATGCATCATGTTTGCAGAGCGGGACACTGGTCTATAGTAGCATCACCCATCTCTTATGGTTACTTCATGTCCCTGAAGACCTGACTTGCAATGTAGCTGATATATATACATATATATACATATGGAGACAGAGAGACAGACACAGAGAAGCAGACCCAGGGAGAGAAAGAGACTGACAGACAGATGATGTGACTATGGGAAACAAAGATCTGGTCTGCTTGATACTTATATTTCATACCATAAATAAGCAAAATGTATTATGGTAGGCTATTTGTGGGCATAAAATACTTGTGGAAATTAACATAAACATATCTATAAATATAAATATCTATGTAGAATTAAAGAAAGAGAGCAAACACATGCTCAAATGTGTAGGTCTTTCCTAATTTTATAGTTTGGATAATAACACTAAGAAGAGCAGAAAATATCAAAGATTAATCAATAAGTTGCAAGAGCAATTTGAAGGAATATTTCATAAAAAAGCTTGCCATTGAGTAAAAATCAGAAACAAAAATAAAACAAACAAGTGAAGGGTAGACCAAAAGTAGATTTACAGTTGTGAGTATGTGAAAGTTTGTTCTGATATTATTATTTATTGTTACATTATTTTCCACATGACCAACTGTAAACCTACTTTGTCACACCCTGTAAAAAACAAACTAAAAATTCACTTTTACTGGAGACTAGAATTGCTGGGGAACCATCTGGATCTAATACTAATTGGTGTCAGGTAATGTGATTTCAATCATGGTAGAGTCCAGATGAAGAATTCATCTATTTCGAAAAGACTTTTGGTTCACACTTAAAATAATTCTGCAAATATTTATCAATGAGATTTTTCTAATAAGAAACAGAATATATATTGAAATGCAAGTGTTGGTCTCTCCTTTTCCTGGTTTGTAATTTCATCTCATAGACATCCACATGCTCTTTGGTATGAAACTCCCAAGCAATACTTAATTATTTTGTTTTAAAACATTATTGGCTGTTTTTGTTTTCTTAAGTTGTGAATATTAGAATCCCATTAGCAAAATCATCAAGTAAAAAATATATAACTCTATTTGATTTACTACATAGAGATTCCGTGATGAATAATTAAAACATTCCCACCAGGACTTTTGGTTTCCGATGGCAGAATGAAGCATGATTTCAAAGTCTTTCTTCCCACAAACCTAATTATAATAAGTAAAAGAAGAGCAAAAGGGCCCAGCTGCAGTCAAGTGAAAAGAAGAAGCTGGTGGCCATTTAAGAAATAAATGCTTCTATGAATCTATGCAAAAAAGGCACAGAGCTGAAGTCAAATATTGATACTAAAATAACTTCAATAATAGAAATACCCACTTTCTTTACACAAATACACACATACACATACAGTCAAATGCCATCATTTCATTGTTAGTAGAGAAACAAGCACCATTCACATTTTAATCAAGATAGAGCAAGAATGTGCTATAATTTTACATTGTTCTATAGGTATTAGATAATGCAATCAGATAAGAGTAAGAACTCCCCTGCCTTTCTCACCTCCCCTCTTCTCTCCTCTCACTGGGATACTCTCAGAGTCAGAAATGAGAGTCAGGGGCTAAAGGAGGAAGTGAAATGCGGGAGAGGAAAGACAGGAAGATGCACCATGCTCCCTTCCTTACACTGAAGAGTCCGTTCTGCTACGGACTTGAGCTGGAGGAAGGGACGCAATTTACTATTAATCTACATTTTTATTAGAGATTGATTATTGGATACGAACTGCACATTCTAATTTCTGAATCGAACCTCAATCTGCTACTTGAAGTCAATTCCAAATCCCTGACTTCACTTAATTAGGAGAAAAGTGGAGCTTTGAGAGTTTAAGGTTCTTGTTTTTTGCCAATTGCTACTCAACTTACTAATGAAAAGCTGAGACTATAAACTATACTTCCATTACTGCATTGTACCCTTAAAAAAAATAAAGAGTGGTTTGATTTGATTTTTTTTCTTAAGAAGTGGAGTCAAGAGTGAAAAGTTCCCACGGCCTTAGGTCTACCACAAATATGCAGTGCTATAATAAAGCCTGTTGATGAACTGCATAAATTAACTTTCATTTTCTGGAGACAGTAAATGCAGTGTTTTGTCTGACTATATGTACCACGAACAATGCAGCATTTTATACCGTTCCTTTTATGCATAACCCCACTTGCATATTATTAATATTTCCTGACTAGATTAAGTCTTGGAAATGATTCTGCCTGGAATGTTTTAGTTCAATACTCCCTTTGGGAAATTATTTTCAGCCTTAATTAGCTTAATTGACAATGCAACCAAGAAACTTGAAATGAGAGAAAAACAAGAATACTGAGGTGAAAAATAAGGCTTCCAACTTTACTAAAAGAGATCCTGAAAGTCAGTGTATTACAAGTATGCATAAATCTGGAGCAGTCGCTTGCTATTGTTTACTTCACAACCATTTCATACATATAGTCAACCTTACCCAATACAGTTACATTCTTTTCCGAAATGTTTTGAATAGGGTATAATTATAATAACAAGCCAAACTTTTTAAAGGTTAATATCATCTTCAATGCTCCTGTGCTTCATACTGCTAGAAATTTTGAGCATAAAAATAATGCTTTCTCTCCCTCTTCAGGGAGGCTGTAACAATGGGTTTTGTGTAGAGAAATAAACAGAAAATGTAATTCTGTCCCCACCCTGTACTCCTCCCACCTTAAAACATTGGAATTGGAATTCTATCCAAGCTCCCTTTGGACTTTGGTTTATGAATTTCAGAGGTAAAAACTTTGTGCTAGCCTTGGGGACTGTGTGGAATCCACATAATTTACTATTTCCTGTGATTTGTCAAAATGTCATTCTTCCCAAGAGGACACTGTTTCCCCATCACGAGCCTGCACCTGCGCGTGCACATGTGCGTGCACGCACGCGCGCGCGCACACACACACACACACACACACACACACACACACACCCCATAGATACTAAATTAGTTGTTAAGAATATACAAAATAGGCTATAATTTACAGGATTACAAGTGTGTCTGGTTTCATTAAAATTAAATTAAACAGATCCAAAGACCATCCTTTCTCCTATTAATTTTAGTCTGCATTCTGTATGCAAAAAAAAATTGAACCTATTTATTATCTTTACAAATCACAGACCCAGAATGAGTGCACTTACCTACACATATTTGTCACTTGCAAAACACTAACTTGCATTAAAATCGAAAATGCTAGAAAGTTTACTTAGGCTTTATAAAAACTCACAAACAAGTTCAGTTCTTTGAAACAACAATAAGTTGCACAAATTGGCATGATGTTATAGCTTCCCCACTATCCTCTCTCTCATCAGCCTCCAGAGTCCTCATATTTCCTTTCGGGCACCAAAGGAATTCCCAACATTCTTGGTGAAACTCCTTTTTCATGTAGCCGAAGGCATTCACTGAAAATCCACTGCTTGTCTTTACAGAACACAAAGAGACAGAAAACCTGAAATCTAGCAAGAACTTATTTCTCATATACTTTGACTTAGAAAGTTACAGTCAACAGCTATTGAGATGTTATGTTTGCAGGCCAAAGCGGTTCTTTTATGTAATATTTTCTTTGTTCACTAAGAACTCCAACTTCACAACATTAAAAATTAGCCTTTCTAAAAGCTAAGAAGTTTTTTTAACTAAGTTGTGTACACAAACAAGTCTGAAAATATGACCCTGCTAATGCCCATTAGCAACCCACAAATCGATCAGTCCATGATAATTCAGGTGTTCTAACCTATAACATGTAATTGCCTTCCCTGGAATTCACAGGACAACAGAAACGGCCAACAAAACCAAAGCAAAATTTTGGAGTCTTATCATTTTGGCATCTTCAAAGTATTGTGTTGGCTAAGTCAGCACACACACACAAATATTGAGCCCCTACTATATGCTGTGTCTTCTGCTGGTGTTTTTGTGTTTTGTATTCCCCATAAGGAGCAATAAGCCAGTGAATGTGTGGTTGGTCCTTTTGATTGAGAATTAACTTATATTAATATGGGCCAACTCTAGATAGGCAAGTAATCTCTCCGTTTTTGTTTTTTTTAACATGGCTCCCCCGTCAGCAAATCTGCAAAATGCCCTTTGAAAAGAGACCCAAAGACTCACAGAAAAACTACCCATATAAAAATAACCTATAGTTTTTAACTTCGTAGTTTTCCCTTGATAAAAGGAGAATGACAACATTTTAACGTACATCTTCACTTTTCCCTTTCTATATCAAAAATGTGGTTTCTCCTGGCCACATGTACAGTCTGGGGGTATGACCAAACCATTTTTCTAATTAGCTTCAAACACTTTTCTTACTTCAAATTAATCATTTTAATTATGCTGTCAACATCTGTGTTGGGACTTCAATCAAGCCAGTTTCTTTATTGGTCTCCTCTGGCCATGGATTGTCAGCCTGTCCCTTAAAATGCCAGACCCACACATGAGCCTGGTAACATGCATTTTCAGGGAGAAGTTTAGTAAGTTGCATTAGGGCATGATGAGCCTTACATTTGGATGAGAAAACCAAATGCAAGTTAAATAAAAATGTACACATGGAAAGAGTTATCTCCTATGAAAGGGCTTCCTATAGAGAGAAACGTTGTGTCTTTCAAGAGGAATTCCCATAAAATCAATAGGAGAAATCAAGGTTTTAGGTAAACTAGAGTTGACTGCAAAAAAAAAGGAGAAATAGTGGGAGAAAAAAATATTCATCTTCCTTCAAAAATTCTACAATATAGGATTTCGTGTTACTAAACATTCCTCGGTCAAGAAAATTTAAATCTGTAGCATTTCTGCAACAAGTAGATAAACCATGAGTTTTCATGAGACAATTTATCACCCTCACTCTTTCTGTTACTCTTACAAGGAAAATTATAGACAGGACTGTCAGGTAGAATTCATTGAACAAAGAATGCAAATTGCTGGCCCTTAGCTCATGAGAGCATTGAAAATAATAAAGGAAGTCCAGATGAATGAGAAGACCCCAGTCCATAGCTCATTTCCACCATAACTAACAAGTTGGCCTTAAAGGAAAATAGTGCAGCAGTAATTTAACTTAAGGGTCTTTAACAAGACAAATATTGCTGCCATTAGAGTTGGCTAAAGGGTATTTGCAGGATCGTTGACATTAGACATTTGATAATTAACAATCGTACAGCCCATTGTCAAGACTTCTTGTTGGGGTTGTTCCTGAAGAAAAATCTGCAGGTGCTGGGATTTAGAGACAACAGCCTCTGGGGGTATCTATATTATTCTCTTTTCTGGAGAATTCCCTTATGGAGAGATTGCAAAATAATTTATCTTATTAATTTTTTCTGTGATTTAATGTTGAAAATTTAAATGATTTTTTTGGGGGAGAAAGAAAGGGCAACACATACATGAAAATTGTTGGCTTAAATTACTTCCAGAAAAGCAACAGTTACCATCTCAATTCCTTACCCTGTGGTTTAAGTGCCAAATAAATACCGTAGCATACAGAAAAAAGAAAGGTTATCTTTCTAATGGGTAACCTGGCTACACATAATAGCGAATTGATTTTGGACTGCATTTAAGACATTAGACTCAACAAAAAGAATACCATTTATAGACACAATATAATCCTTATGAAACAAAAAATAGTAGCAATAATTGGGAACTTGCTCTCTATCAGCGGTTCCCAAAAGAAAATTCAGAACTGGTTGACTGAAGAAGAACCAAGGGCAATTTCAATTCGCCCTTGTTTAGGTCAGGGAAATATAAATGTTTAGGCGATAGTGTCTGTTATACTTTCCAGGAACCAAGCAATCCCTACTATGTGAGAAAACACTACAGACCATACTGTATGGTGATAGTGTGAAAAATGATTTAGCACTCAATGGGGCTGAGCATGGCGCCTGGTCTACAGCATGCCTTCTAATGACTGGAGAAAAATTATAAGACAAGGCATTCCTTTACAAATATGAGGAGGTTTAATTCCTTTGCTTTAATAGAGGGAGAAAAAGAGGAGAGAGAAAGGGAGGAAGGGAGAAAGAGTGGAAGCAAGGATGGAAGGAAGGAAGGAAGGAAGGAAGGAAGGAAGGAAGGAAGGAAGGAAGGAGAGAAGGAGAGAGGGAGGGAGGGAGGGAGAGAGGGAGGGAGGGAGGAGGGAGAAAAAATTGGTTTCTTCTGTGTGGGATCAGTGTGAGAAACAGCAAACTTAGGAAAGAGATCTAAGTTCAAATCCTAACTTCATCACCCATTACTGTATGACCTTAGGTCAGTACCCTAACCACACACACTCCCCATTCCCTTATCTATGAAGCAGGACCACTGCTATTTGTGCTTGCAGTGCTATTCTGAGATAGTGTGTGTGCTTATAGCAAAGAACAAGAACAATGGAGACAAAAGGACCTGTGTATGTTCCACTACTTATTCTAGCAAAGTGGGGAATGGACAGGATGGCCCCAGTTCACATCTAGGCTCTGCTACTTACCAGCTATGACCTCGGGATCAAAGGCAGCAGAAAAGTTAATTTATACTAGAACTCTCTGTGTGTGTGTGTGTGTGTGTGTGTGTGTGTGTGTGTGTGTAGGAACCGTTAACAATAGGGATTTTTTGCTTTGGGTTTTTTTTTAAGATACTTTTATTGATTTTTAGAGATAGAGGATGAGAGAGGGAGAGAAAGGGGAGAGAAAGAAACATCAATGTGAGAGAGAAACATCAATCCACTGCTTCCTGCACACCTCCTACCAGAGAGAGAGCCCACAACCCAGGCACGTGCCCTCACCCAGAACCTAAGGGCAATCCTTCGGTGGACAGGATGAAGTCCAACCAACTGAGCCACATCTGTCAGGGCAAACATAGTGGTGTTTCTAAGAAGCAATGAGTTAAAATCAATTTTCCCTGATGCGTTCAATTCACCAACATGCCTACCAAGACCTAAGTGATATTCCAGTGGGGGAAACATCATTTTTTATCTTCAAAGTTAGTTTTTTGGTGATTTGATATGATATACAAAAGAAAATCTTTCCATAAATAAGAAAGAAATATTAGCCATCTACTTAAGAGAAACAAGTGATATTAATTAACTATGTAAAATAATTTCTCAAGTAGTAAAGTTCATTTTGAAAGTTCCTAAAATTATTTATTCAGACTAAAACACTTAAGATTTTAAATTGCATTGTTTTTCTTTGTCAATTAAAGTGGTTTATTTAGACTTAGCGACGTTAATCAATGTTGGTGTGACTAGAGTTAAGTAGAAAATGCATGGTTTTCTCAGGTAATTGGCTACATTTTCAGAGAAAAAGTAGTCATCATACAGCATTATTTATGTTCATTTCCATAAGATGGTTCACTCAGGTAAATTATAATCTGTATTGGATTTATACATGCTCTCCCTAAGTCCTTTTATCACTTTATTAAATAAAAAAAACATGGATACAAACATATTACTGAGTCTAGTTACATATACAAATGCAAACTTCTCACCACTTCAGAAATTATTCTACAAAATAGTAACTATATAAGAAACCAGTTGCACTAAAATTCTTTCCTAATAGCCCAACTTTTAAAATAGCTTAAACATATAATGTATAACATTCATCTGGTCAGAATTTCAGTCTCCACTTTAACACAAGCCAGTAAATCAATTTTTCCACCAGTAAATTAGCCCAACAATTTTTTTCACTGGCTTCTCAAGGCTTTCTTTATCTTACAAGCTTAGAATCATTACATTAGAATTTTACAGGAAGAAGGGGCTTTTGGGAGTCCTCTCCAACTCTTTCTCAAGTACATGAACTGTTTCTACAATGTGTGGAAAACTTCCTGGATAATTCACAATTGATAGATGTTTAATGTGCACTTCCCTAACTATGCAATTGTTCAAAATAAGAGTAGCAAGAAAGATTCATGGTATCCTATTTTTTATAACAATAAAAGTAAATGTCTCACACATTTGGTAATACCCCAGGCATATAGCTAATCCATTGTGTTTCTGTGATCTAAATCTTAAGTTAGCTAATCACTGTACTGTGATTCTTAAATATATATTTTAAATGATACTTTTCCCCAATGATTCTTATATTCCAATACCTTATGCAAATAGAGATGAGATAACAATACAGATTAATAGCCAACAATGGGTCAAACATAAATACATCAATTTTTTGGCATATTCCAAATGCAGAAAAACAATCAGCTAAAAGTAGACTAAAGCCAATAGAAGATTTACCAGTTTCTAACCATTGGAAATTGCCTTGGAAGTTGATTTTACCTTTTGGTATTCCTGTGAGTGGTGGAATGAACTAGGTCTCAAATCCCCATGAATGATCCACTAACTCAGTTGTTAAAGGAGCCAATTATCTACTTTCTGTCCACATTTGAAGCCTCCATTCTTGGAAATAACTCAGAATTCGGCACAGTCTCTTCTCAATTTATTAAATATCATTAACTATAAAAAAGCACCTGCCTATCACACCACAAATCGTTATTGCTTTCAGACTTCCCTAGAGTCACGAGATACCCGAGTTGTAACCCCAGGGATGCGATCTTACCAAGCACATGATGTTTTATGAAATTAAACAAGAGGGGTGAAGTTACAAGACAAGAGAAAAAAAATGCCTCCTCCGTTTTAATCCAATTAAATGAAATGCAAATAGCAGTGTTTGGCAAGGTCCCTAAAACGAAGAGCTGAGTTCTACATTCTCAGAATGAAAATGACTACAGTGTACTTCCTTGTTTGATGGTAACTATTATTTTAGATGCTGAGAGATGGAAGATAACAATTCTACACATGTTAAATAGGTAGAGACTTAAAAGGGATTATAAAGTACTTAGAAATGTATGCCATTGCCATTAGTGAGTTAAGGGCGGTAACTGGAGGAGAAGCCAAGTAGAAAAGGCGTGGTCCAGGGACAAGAACACAGACCTGGGCTCATTGGTGCAGCATTCTATTCCCTGATGGGCTCCTGAAGAACTGAGGCAACTTAAGGCACGTCCCCTTACCTTCTTACGCTTCAGTAACCTTGTTGGCCAAACTGAGTACTTATTACATGATTTACTACACACAGATCAAAAGAGGTCATAGAATAAAAAGACTTGGAAAAGTTAAAAATATTCTGTCTGAGACTGCAGGGTAGTATGGAAGAACATGGATTTTAGAGTTAATTCAAACCTGAGTTAGAACTCTCCAAGATGTGAGAATGGGCAACAACCATTTCCCTGAATCATTTTCTTTCTTGGAGAAAGAGTGATACTATCTACTTCACAGAGTTGTTAAGACCAAATGAGAGAACATATTGATTCTTTAGTTACATATGTTATAAACATTTCACTGCTTATTTATTTACTTTATTTTTATACACACCTATATATAAAAGCTCTATCGTCTATCTATCATCTATCTATCTATCTATCTATCTATCTATCTATCTATCTATCTATCTTCCTCTAACAAGCCAAAAGGGTCATTGCTAGTGGTTAGTTCTTCCTATTCACTGTGAGAGTAGCATGGCACTTATGACAATACCTCACAAGCTGCAAACTAATAAAATATACAAAATAGGATTGAAAGGCATCAAAGAAAGATAGCCTTTTATCTACTTAAAAGACGTTACTTTATGCTAATTTCTTTTTTAAATGATATAATAAAAAGTGATAATCAAGAACCCAAAATGCACTTTATTTGGTACCATTTCTATGATGCCACTAAAACACTATGATAAATTATTCTCTTAAACCCAAAACACAAATAATCAAAAACCACAAAAAAAGAACACTAAGATACTTGACATATCCTAAAAAGTAAATTGGTTTTCTGTGATACAATGAGCTTTGTTTATGTTATGATTGATTCAGGCAGAGGGCATTTCCCTTTCCTCAGGACACACTTTTGAACAGAAACAAGGAACTGGCATTTTGCTAAATCTCATTTGAACAAACTTGGAATTAATGCTATATAATTTTATTAACCCCAATAAATTCAATTTAAAAATAAAAATAATAATAAAACATTAAAAAATGAAAAGGGGACAGAGCAGCTCCTTCACTGCGATCTATTGAAAGTCAGCCCTCGAAACAAGGGTTTGTAAAAATTAAAGACAAAAAATAAAATGAAAAGGGGATAGATTTTGACACGCATTCAACTTTCAATGTATTTGGGCACTACAGAAGGGATTCCTCTATTCTCAACATCCTCCATTAAGTCAAGAAAGACCCTCTAATACACAATGTTTTAAAAAAAAGACTACAAAAAATTGCATTCCACCATAACATAGCACTACAATGGTGACACACATTGGTGCAAAAAGAGACAAAATATATTTTGAAAGTATTAGTAAGAGGATGGCAGGCATCATGGGCACTAGACATGCGCACAAGGCTCCTCACTTAGAAGGGCGTTCTTTCCCTTTGGTTTAATCCTTGCTGATGCCATCTAGAAATTCTCAATAATTTCTGACCAATTAGCATTTTGTCCTATGTCCTGCAAATTATGTAACTATTCCTAAGGAAAGACAGACAAACTCTGTTAAAATCTCTCCCTACACGTGATGGAAGTTTCTCTGATCTAGGATTGGCCCATCACTGGGAGAACACTATTGTGGCATAAGAAGTCAGTCCATAAAGACGATCCTCAGCAAAACGATAATGTGCATGTTAGGCTCCATCTCATCTTGTTGCGCCATTCTTCCCTTGGTGGTCATTTTCTCAGGTGCTTTTATTCTCCTACCTACAACCAACCCAATGTGCTCCTCACCCTACTCCAGAGCATAATCTGAAAACAGAACTCTGTACCACTGTTTGCTTTTAAGTCAACAGTTTGTCTCTTCTCAAGGCATTTCTACCTCAGGCTTCCCTTTAATTTATTCAAAACATTTCTCTGTAAAAGGAATTTTTGGCATTTGTGATTTGTCAGGTTCATATTTTATACAGGGGTTCTTGTTAGAACTCTTGTAATTTACTTGTGTGGTAACTGCCTATTAATTACCACTGCCTCCCCCCCCCACCCCCCACCCCCAGAAAGATGTGACTTGCCTCACGCCATCATTCTGTTCCTTTCTTTTTAAGTGATGTTTTACTTGTGGCCTATCTATTTCACAGTGCTGCTAGGAGTTAAATAACAGCCATGAAGCTCTCCTCTCCCATTGCTTAATAATCATGATTAATGACTCTGCAACATAAGCACTCTCCAGCCATTTTGGACAACACGAGATCAGAAACTCAGATCAGAAATTCTGCATCTGGGAGGACCCGCAGCCGCTTCCAGGCGGCCCCATCAGCACAGGAAACACTGACAGAGAGAACAACTGATCTCTTATTAGGCTCACGCCCAAGCCCGTGCCCCCAAGATTTTCTCATTTGCAAATGCCATTTGTCTTGATCTCTCTTCGGTCAGACAAGGATAATGAAGTGAATTTAGTGTTGTTAAAAAGGGAATTTAGGTCTAGAGCTGGAGGAAGGAGGCTTCCTACTTATCTCCAGAAGTATGGCAGGGGCTCTAGAGAAAGCAGGCTTTCCCAACTAACTCATCCTGTTCCACACTCCTGCCCTGGAGGAATCCCGGGTAGCGGGCGGGGGAGGGCAACCGGGGTGAGATGATCATGGAGTCTTCTGGCTCAGGATGGCTGACCTCTCAGTGGGGCCTGCCAACAAAAATGCCAATTAGTCGCAAGAGTGGCAGAGACAAACAGGAGAGTCAATCAATTGAAATTAGCAAGGAAAACACCAGCCAAGAACCATGTCAAAACAGATGATGCTGGTCCACTCATCTAGAAAGGGTTGACAAAATTGGCTCTACACTGCACCGGAAGTGCAGAATAATGGCTGGCATCGTGCTTGCTAAATAACTAGCTATTTAAAAGAAATGAAATATGCAAAAATAAAATTTTTGAAGTCCTTCCGTAACAAGAAAAAGGAAGGAAGGATGCAAAGAAGCCTGTATATTAGACCAATGAAATCTAAGTAGGTAGACTAGTAGTTTTTAAACATTAACATGCATCAACACTACCTTGCAAGCTCTTCATAGAGAGATTGCTGGGCCCCACTTACAGAATTTCCGATGCAGTCGTTCTGAGAAGTCTAAGAATTTGTTCTAAGAAGTTCCCAGGTGATGCTGAAGCTATTGGTTCAGGGGCTGCACTATTGAGAACCATTTCTCTAAACCCCGATAGGAGAGATTGACTCTATTCTATAGTTAACAAAAGGCATAGCATTGGGCTGAAGGCAAGCCTTTCTTTCTTTGCTGTCAATCTGTAAAGTAGAAAACATTTTATTTGCTTTTGTACGACTCACAAATGAAGTATTAAATATATTCTAAGCCTCATGTATAATATTTAAGATACCGGCATTGACATTTTATAGCCGGATCATAAAAATGAATGCGTATCAAAGACAACAGGGATGTGAAGCCTGTTCACAAAGCTTAGAGAGTGCCCATCACAATGCCGAGGAAAGAGCATAGCCCAGGCCATGTGGATTTTGTTCCCAGTGAAATCCCATGTGGATTTCACTGCCCGTAGGTATTAGGCCTGTCATTTAATACTGTTGGCCTCAGTTTTCTTATCTCAAAAATGGATAGGCCAGAATAGAAGACCTAAGTTCCTTCCAGGTGTACCCCATTCTAATCTAGGTTATCAGACAGTCAATGGAGCTGTTTGTTTTTCGAAATCACTTGCTCTTTCCTAAAATACAATGATCAGATACCATTTCACACCATAAACAGCATTTAGAAAGTGTTGTCAAAAAGTGTTCCCTAACTGTGCACCTGGGAACACTATGCACTAGTAGAGACAAGCAGTATTGTGTGGTTGTTCTGTATTCATGTCTTAGTTTTATAAGATGGTTTTAGCATGACCTCAGTTCTCGGTTCCGTGCAGCTACGTCTGACATCAGAACACACAGTAGAAACCTGAATGTAATTTTCCCTAGCATATTCCTAAAGATGATGGATCAGTGGGCCACACAGTAACACTTCTCTAATAGGAGAAATAGTTTGAATCCACTAGAAAAATTTTTCAACATTTTTTATTAGATATTCCTAGGACAATATGCTGGGATAGCTAGATATTAATCCAGTGATAGCAATGTTTCCATTCATTTATAAATGTCTCTATAAATGCCCATCAAATTTAAGTAGAAATATTTTCCTTAATCATCTCCACAAAATTAACAAAGGGATAGGCTTGGGAGGTAAAGAATAACCAAAGATATTACTTATCTTATTGTTCCAGGGTTAATTTTAGAATTTTAGGCACGTTACAATGAACTTGTAATGATAGCATTTTTTAAAAAACAGTTCCAGGTTTTCTAAAACTCTATGCATTAAAACATCAAATGGTGTTAGAAAACTAGGAAATAATTTTACTAATTATTTAAATATGAATCCGACCAAAAAAGATAAAAATTTTGCCACTTTTTCCTTCCCTGAAGCTGAACACAAAAGCAGAGTAGGCAGTGGCAGGCCTGGGGGTGAATATCTTGGCTGGTATTTATCAGCCAATTTATGTTTGGCAACTTGCTACACTTTCTGAGCTTCAATGTTCTCATCATAGAGTGACTAATAACTACAGGATTAAAGGTGAAGATGTATATAAATTCCCTTTCATGAGGCCTAACACATGGTAGTTGATTGATAAAGGATGGCGATGGCAGTGGTTATTGTTCTTAGAAGAGTTCAGCTTTCCTGGAAGGCAATCCTTTGGTTTAGTATTAAAGTCCCTGCCATCTAGTAGTTTTAGGCTGTGAACACAACCTCGCAGGCTGGCTTCGCTTTTCTTCACTTAAAACTACCTAGGAAATTGGCACATGTCAACAGGTCACGGTTGGTCATTTCACCTAGGTTACTAGTATCAGAGTTTTATGTGAAAGCTGGCTTGGGATAGGTGTGGCGCCATGCTCACAAACCCAACTGCAGTGTTATATTTTAGATTAGAAAGCATCCTTGAGCAAAGCAGATTGTACATGTGCAAAAAAAAAAAAAAGTACATCGACTCTTACTCCTGTGAAAATTAACAGAAAGCTTGTTTCAAACTGTGCTTACCCCACAAAACATGAAGAGAATGTCAAAATATTTTTTCTTGCTTGCTTGAGCACTATTTTTAGATGGATTTTGAATAGAGAACACATATTTGCTAAAGACTCCGAATTCATTCCAGATGGGGGCTTGAGCTATGAAGTTAGGGGATGCAAAAGAAATCTGGCTTTCCTTTGTTACAAAAACCCAGAAAGGCGGATCAGCTGAAAAACTAAGACTAGCCAAGCCCAGACCTGGCATCTCCATGAATATTTTATAATCATTTTTAATGCATTTAGAACAGAGCTTCCTTCAGAAATAAAACAGAATAGAAAGCAAAATCAAAGAGAGAGAGGGAGGAGGCCAGGAGGGAGGGGGGAGGAGTTGAGAGGGAGGGAGGGAGGGAGGAAGGGAGGGAGGGAGAGCAGGGAAAGGGAGGAGAGAGGGCCAGAGAAAGAACTTCAGCACTTTCTGGTCTCTTCTCACTCCATTTCAAACCTCCCACCGGTGTAATTGTATCTCCCTGTTGAGGTCTGCGTTGGGTGGCTAAACTGCTTTGGCTTTGGAATGCTCAAACTTCAGACGTGAGGGACGCTGTACAATGGGCAGTTCCAGAGTTACGAGTTTCTCCCACATACCAAATACATTAAGTAGCAGTGGAGTGCTTGGAAGAGCTCTGGCACCCGGCCACTCTGTAACAGGAACTTGCTTGGCAAAGAGCTGCTTTAAGCACATTTGCTGCGCGCATACTTGTAGCCATTTCTTTCCCTGTTAGCCCCCCTGGAAACTGACATGGGTGGGCCAGTTCTTTGAGGATGTCCACCAGCTGAATACAATGCAAAGGCCAGCCCTAGAATTTGCCACGTGGGCTCCGTCCACGATCTCCGATGATCCTCCCACGGCTCCCGCCATCATGCATGGTGTGTGTTCCTATCACATGCAAGATTGTCCTCTGGGCTGAGCTGAGCCTTTATATTGTATTACTAAGCATTATCACTGGAGATGAAATCAAAACCAGGAAGGAGGTAAATAGTGTCTGCTCTATCACAAAACTGGCAAGATCAGATATGTCAAGCTTTTGTAGAAAGAATGAAAACAACCACAACGCTGATAGTGGAATCTAATTGTCGCAGTTAACCATTTAAATATATGTCAAACATATCTGAGAAGCAGGCTTCCTTTTCCAGTATGTTAACAGCGTAAAAGGAGGACCTATAGCCGGGAGGATAAAGCCTGCTAGTAAAACATAACCGATGTATGTTGCAAAAAGAGTATTTGTCATCAAACAACGCTTCCATTGTAAAACAATTCCAACCTATGCATGAAAGATTCCAAACGCCAGTACAGCATTCAATTTGATACTGGAGTTTTATCATATTATTTCATGCGAAAAAATTATATACTCAATCTGTCTGACAGCTTTGCATATAAAGAACAGTTTCTGCATGACAAATGCGGTGAGCTTATTAAGTTACCAATACACTGCCAAGCCATATTGTCTCAGCGACAGCCAACCCAAAATATTTTCAAATGATTTTTTTAAAGGGCAATGCGGGAAAGGCTGAACAACCGCATGTTCTGACTTTAATAAAAGTCACAATGGCAGGAACAGTTACCTTCTATCTAATTAAAACAAATCATCCATAAGCCTCATTTAGCCCATATTTAGTCTGTCACAGACTTTTATTTTTGGAGGAAGTTGGAAATATTAGTTTTTGATTTATCATCTGCTGCCTCACAGCTGTAAAAAAAAAATACTCCCCCAAACTATTAAACTGGATATAAAAACAGACCACTTTTTGTTTCTTAAAAATACAAAGACATGAGGGTCGTTACAACATAGTTGTATGATGGGAAAAAAACAAACCATTCAATAATGCAATGGTTACTTTAAGAGAATATTTCATCAAAGTTGGGACTAGAAAGTAATTCAAGCAGACTAGCCTTCTAATTTCTTCATGTGCTTGAAGACACCTTTACTCTTTATCTTGAACTAAAAGCACTAAGTTATGTTTGCATTACAAACAGAAATTGTGAAAATCTTAGATAATAATCACATATAATAATAAAAGGATAATCAAACAGCTAGGACTCACTCTATTATTAATATGATTAAGTAGTACTGCTATTAAGAAGAACTTGCTAGGTGTCGGGTACTATGCTGAGCAATTAAATGTAATTTTTTTCATTCTCACATCAATTCTCTAATATAATCCATTGAACAGATGAGGAAAATAAGACAAAGACTGTATAACTTGCCTAAGGTCATGGGGACCCGTACAAACCCAAGTCTCTGATTATAGAAGCGCTGAGCTCTAAACTATTCTTTTACTTTATTTCCTTGCTTCATTAGATCGGGGGCCAGAGGGGAGTTTTCCTCACATAAATGAAAACAATGTAGGGGGGTCAGACTATCCTATGAAGAATTGTCAGTCATAGCAAATATCATACCTAGTCACACTAAAATAACAAAGATGACTTCGAAACTGTTCTTATTCAACAACTATGCAATGGAGACACAACTTAGTCACAGGCATCACTCTTTGTTGAATATTTTAAGACTCTCCCACCCCAATTACCAGGGAACTTGCCAACTAAGAACAGAGCCTATTGCTGAATTGTCTTAAGTACAGCTTCGTTATAAATTTAAGAGTGAAGTTTTCCAACAGATTGAAAGTAGTTTGGTGTGTGTGGTTTTGTCTTGTTTTTAATTCCCTTCCCTCCAATATGGTCTAGAGTTAAAAAAAAGAATGGGTTCATGTAGTGGATGTTTTATTTTAATGTGTATTATTTATGTAGCCTCGTGAATTCTTGAAGTCACCTTCCCAGCCCTGAATGTTACGTGTGCTGACACTGTACACTATGGTCACTGCTTTCCAACTGGGCAGAAACCTTGAGAGAGTCCTGGCTGCCAATGGCCACTGACTAGCTCACCTTTGGTTAAAAGTCGCTTTTTTAGTTGTAATACAAATAAATAATACAATAAATAATAAATAATTATACAAGAATAAACTCTGTGGTTCACGTACTTACTCACAACTGTAACCCTACTTTTGCCCACCCCTGTAATAAGGGAAGTAATCTAACAGGTAGTATCATGCCATGAAAGAGGCCAACAACTGATTTGAAGATAAACTAAGTTACAATTTTAGGGTTTGTCAAGACTGTTTTCCTTAATTTCTCTCTGATATAAAGGTAGAATATGCAAATCTTACTACACACATAAACAGTGTACTTACTCGCACACATATACAAATTTAAGAAGTTATCAACCAAATGGAAAAAAAATACATGGTCATTGAGTAAAAGGTCAGGCTTCCTGTTAACTAAAATTTTTCCATATTTATTTCCCATTACTGAATTTTTTAATATTTAAGAGAGTAGCTGAGACAATAGTAACAAGAAAAATCATATGCTACTCTACAATAAGGGTATGAAGTCATCCTAAAACAATGCATTATTTAATCATATTTTGAATTCTTATTTCAAAGTCAACGTGCTAATGATTGCAGGAACATGCAACATAAATACAACTCCCTTATTCATTTTTCAGTGGTATCAATTATGTATTTGAAAATAGCTTTTAGTGCTCACAAGAAATATGGTACTAGCTCCATTAGATCCTAGTTTTATTTATTCAATATTAATTAAAAAAACATTTATGGACCTACCAGACTGTGTGTAAGGCATTGTTAAAAAGAGGATATATGACTGGATATCTCAGGCGTTCATTGAAAGGGTTTAGAGCTGAAGGAGACATTGACACCATAATGAGTGTGCTGTTCTACGTTTCAGTAATAGCTTCTGGAACATTCATGACCAGACCTGTTGTCCCTGGTGCCCCTAGGCTAATTCGACATTACATTCAGAGCAGCTTTCCTTCCTGGAAAGATAATCATTTCTAAGATAAAGCATGTTTCTCAGTTAATATCCCTAAAGTATTTGAGAAAGGCAGACAGAGACAGAAAGAGAATAGACTGAGGGTGAAAATACTTCTTTCTGGATAAAGCCCATAAGAGAGAAAAAAAGGAAGAGAATGACAATGACGGGTTCTTGCTTTTCTCTCCCCAAATGCATCACTTCCTTCCTACCTTGCCTTTGGTCCTTAATTATTCTGATATTTCCTGATTTGGGATATAAAATGTTATTGGACTTAGATAAATCAGACAGTGCTTCAGGAACTGAGCAAAAATAAACTGAAATAAAACAGCTAATTAAAGCGAACCAACCACAAGGACTTCATCCTGAACATGCAAATACTTAAGTCCTTTCATCAGGAGAAGGCAACAGGCTACTAGTGGGCAGCCCTCGACTTGCTTGTTAGGCATTCTGATAACTAGGACTTCACAGTCCAGTTTGAAAGAAGGACACATTCTGTAATTGGAGTCAATATGTAACCTTTGCTCTATTAGCTAGACAAGCTGATTAAGAAGAAGCACAGGATAGATGCTGCAATGAGGAAAACTCCAGAAAAAAAAAAAAAGAGCCATTTTGAGTCTGCATGCCAAGTAAGCTTTGTGATTTCAGGAAACTCCACGTAAGATTACGGAAAATCCCCTTTCAAACCTAGAACAAAACTTATGATTTCCTAGGGCAGGATCAGATGTGTTTATCATGAGAAAGGCATCCGTGGAAATCAGGTCAGTTGACCACACAGAGCTGGGGAGCCCGACAGCCACGCTTGATGATGACTGAACAAAGACGGGTGTCTTGAGTCTGGTTCCCTAGAAGTAAAGTCCAAGATGAGGGGT